AAGATATGAGTTGAGCTGACGTTTCCATTCAATTTTACATTGTCTTGCTTTCCCAAAAGTTGTTCTCCTCCCGGTTGAAGTGAACTGCAGTTTCGGCCTTACATCAACTGTTCTTATCAACATCCCCCGCGGGAGTCGAACCGCAACAGTGCAGGATGGGAGCTAGACACGCTAACCACTCGGCTATGTGAAATGCAATGGAAACGTCAGCTCAACTCATATTATTTGTGGGATAATTCTTCTTCTACCAGTCCTTCATCAGCTTAGACCAATTAGGGTGAATAAATCTCATGCTACTGATTTACTGGTAGTCTCGAAGCTCAACTCCAATACGAAAATGTTTTCAGTTAATCTATTGGCACAAATCTGTAGTCACAGCTTCAAGGCAACCAACAAATTAATTTCGCTAAGGCCAACATATAAATCCCTTCCACTGGCTCTTTCGAACCAAATGGAAAGTATTCCAAAGTACTCAATCGAAGGACCATCCCTGCCGAGAGGGGATGTCGTTTTGGGTGCATTAGCAGGTTTCGAGAAAAACAATAGTTGCGATATTTTAGTTGTAAACCCCAATTATGCCCATCATTTCGACATAAGATCGACTTCATCGACTTGCCGGCCACCCCAGCCGGCTACAACTCCGACTTTCGCGAGGTCTACGCGCACTGCGTGCCCGGAGCTCGAGCCCGTCAGACCCGCAGTCCGCCGATGTCGTCTGCCGACTCGCCGTCGAGCAGACCATCCCACCTCTCGAATGCTGTCGTCACGTCGATAGGGGCGACGCCTCCGTTCGGCGAAGGCTACGCCGACAACGAGGGCGCAGAAGGCTCGACAGGGTCCGACCTCGAGACCCGGCAGCAGACGAGGCTGCCCAACTATTGCCTGGGCGACGGGATCTGGCATTTGGCGACCAAAGGGCACTGCGAATGTGCTCCTGGCTTCCAAGCAGACGATTGGAAGGCAGACTGCCTCGGTTGGTCCATCTTGTCTCTTATAGCTTCTCAATTAAATCTTGTATCTTGAATCTTGTAGCTTGAATCTTGTCTCTTGAATCTTGTCTCTTAAATCTTATCTCTTGAATCTTGTCTGTTGAATCTTGTCT